GGAGGGGGAAAGGAGGAAGAGGAAAGCAGGGGAAGGACGAGGAAGACGACAACAACGGGCGCTGCGGAGGAGGGAGGAAAGGATGAGGAAGACGACGGGCACAGTGCGGAGGAGGGAGGAACGAACGAGAAGAGGATGACGAGAGGACGTGGAAGTGAAAAGGCGCAATTCGACGTGGCAAAAAAAATAAAAAATAAAAAAAATGGCGACCGCGACGGCAATGGCGACGGGGTCAACAACGGCGACGGCGACGACAATGGCAGCGACAACGGCAGCGGCACTGGCGACGGCGACGACTCTCTCTCTCTCTCTCCCTCTCTCTCTCTCTCACACACACACACACACACACACGAACTTACCTCCACGACAATGGCGACAGTGACGGAGACGGCGACCCCGGCAACAGCGGCAACGGCGACGGCGACCCCTTCGTGGCGACGGTGATGGCGACCCCACCATGGCAACAATGGCCTTGGCAAGTAGGATTGCGAACGGTACGGTGCGAGACGTTGGGGGAGACAACAGGGTTGGGCTGCAAGGCAGGGCAGGGGGTAGACTGTCCCGCCACGAATTCAAAACTCGAATCGGGCCCGTCTTCCCCCTCCCTCGCCTTGCAGCACGGCTTGTGCTGCACCCTCCCGCGACCCTCTGTAACCCCCGACCCCGAGAAGGCCACAAAACGGTCCGGAAAAGAACCCTCACGACCACGTACGCAGGGCTCTTTTTGACGTACACGCACATACGTACGCGCGCATGTGCATACGTGTACGTGTGTGCGCGGGGGCTGCGTACGTGTACGCCGTGCAACACAACTCTTATCACATCGTTAGTGAATCATTGCGATAAGGCAGACTTCTTGGAGCCTTGCTACTCTTATCACACCGTCTGTGCCATTATTGCGATAAGGCAAGCTTCTCGAAGCCTTGCTACTCTTATCACACCGTCTGTGCCATTATTGTGATAAGGCAGGCTTCTCGGAGCCTTGCTACTCTTATCACACACTTGCCCTAACGCACGGCTGGTTGGTAATAAGGCAGGGTTCTTGGAGCCTTGCTTCTCTTATCACCGTCCTTCCTTAACCGTGTCGTTTAGACAATAGGGCAGACCTCTCGGGGCCTTGCTACTCTTATCATTGTCTGTGTTATTAGTGTGATAAGGCAGACTTCTCGGAGCCTTGCTACTCTTATCACCGCCAGTGCTATTAGTGTGATAAGGCAGGCTTCTCGGAGCCTTGCTACTCTTACCACACACTTGCCCTGACGCATGGCTGGTTGGTAATAAGGCGGGGCTTCTCGGAGCCTCGCTTCTCTTATCACCACCCTCCTTTTGTGCGGGTTGGTAATAGGGCAGACCTCACGGGGTCTTGCTCCTCCTATTACCACAAAAGCAGATTCAGGTAATAAGGCGGATCTCTCGGGACCTCACTCCTCTTATTACCCCTGCTAGTTTACTTCTTTTAGAAGAACCCTTCTGTCTGAGATCAATCGAAAGCCTTAGAGTCAAATGAACAGGTCACACGGGGCCACATCCCAATGACTCAATAAAACACCTAATGAGGAAGTCCACATGAGAACTCTCACCTCATTACGTATTTCTCAGAAGACCTTCAACTGACCTTTGACTTGAGTTAGTTTGACTTAGAGAAGGTGAGCGTTAGTCATAGCATTTCAACAAGGATACGTAAATCCCTCATGGGTTAGCCAATCAATAATCCCATGCATACATAACAATGCGCAATCCAATAACTTCTGTAGTAGTCCCAACCCTCATCAATGTTAGAAGATCCTATCAAGCAGGACAGGACTTCACGGAGTCCACATTCCAATGCTTTATCTTCCCAAAATAAACATACACATGGTGAGACAGCCCATACGAGAGCTTCTCGTTCTCACGATGTGTTTTCAGAACAGTTAATCATACCCAAATCACATCAACAATCAGACAACGCGATTGGCCTGCATGACATCCACGTTCCATCAAGTTTTCACAATACAAGAACTCTGGAATCACTTCAAGCATTGCACCTGTGTCGTCGCCCGTACGTCGTACAGGGGGTCTCCGTACGGCCTGTACGGACGGACAGACAAATGACCGTACGGGCGTACGGACGACGGCCGTCCGAAGGTGTTTTAGGGGCAAAAAAAAATCAAAAAAAAAAAAAAGGGTTGTAGATCTTTTTGAGATCTACAACCTCATATTTTTTTTTCTATTTTTTGGCCTTAAAGAGGATTGAAAAAAAATCAAAAAAAAAAAAGAATTTGGTAGCAAAAAAAAAGGGCAGAATAAAACAAATATATATATATATATATATATATATATATATCCAATATTGCATTTTATTTCTTTTAATTCATAGATTAAAAAAAAATGAGAGTGAAAATGAGAATCATGTAATGAATCAATATTTATCTATAAATCCAAAAGATAATTTGCTGCGAACCTCAATCTCTTCTACCTTGTCTTC